AAATGCGTATGGACTGTCCAAAATCCATAAGGAGGGTACTTCACTTACGGTTATTGTAAATAATAGAGGCGGAGTAGGAATCATACTTTTCAGGATGATGACGAACGAAAGCCCAGCACATTTTCCCCAGAATCAATGTAGACCGCCACGAAAGTGGCATTAATTAGCAGGCTTCGGTAGAAATTGCCGAAAACCGGCCAAAAGGAACCCATCGTCGTCTTCTGATTGGATCCATCTTCAAATCTCATCAGTAAATGCACACTTTTACTCGAACTGAAGGTGAGCTTGACAATTAGGCAGCAAACGATTTCCCAAAGGCCATATTTTCTTCGTAGGTACCAAGTAATCGGAGATGCATCACTTTTGAGGCCAAGTTTTGGAAGCTTGTTAAAATAGACTATTACAACTGATTTATGGGCGCTGTCCTTTTATGCGACGGACTCCAGGAGGTAGGAGGAAGACAGCAAACTCTAGAAAAATTATTTTGTGCCTACAGCCTCCCAATTCTCATTGCGATTCGCCAAATACGTCTGTTACAAGCTGTAGGGCTGATGAAAGCGACGTCAGAGGATACAGAGATTTCTGAAGAACTGCCAACGCATCTCGATGGAGATACAGTGGCTGGACACTATCATAGCTTTGATTAAATTCACGGGTTTGGAGCCACGATTTGGCGTAATCAGTTTGACTCGGACGAACCTGGCTTCATGCAGACAGAGGAGACGATTACGGCCGTCTTTACTTCCCACAGCTGAATGAAGTCTTCTTCACAAGGGGGCTCTTAAACTACCAAGCCGGAGCCATATCAAAACCTTCTTAAATTATATACGTTTTTTTTCAACATTGTCCAAAAAGCTTACTTTTCTTTTTATTTCACACAGACCCATCCATTCATAAATTTATACAAAGAAAAGTTGAGTTTCAAGCAATTTATTGGTTTATAATTGTTGAATTCACTTTTATCTCAAGTAAAACTGCTTGGTGAAGAGATACGAAGGTCGATCCTACCAGAGGATGATAGCGAATTTCTATTGTTTCGCTTTACTTAAACATTCTGATGAGAACGCACTTATATTTAGTCCATCATATGACGAACATCATAAGAGCAAAGTATCATTGTCACAAGCATATTCGAGCTAACGAGTCAAGAAAACATTGCAGGTTTTCATCGAAATAGAAGGAGATTGCTTCGGAACAAGCGTCAACAACAATATTCCAGCAAAGTCAATTGACATCTGCTCGAGAAGAAACGACAGTCATCTTCTCGTGAGATCTATCCTCAAAGCTTTTTGCCAAACACTTTTACTCAAAATGGAAGTGAACATCTATTTTCATTTCCTTTACAGCTGCTGTAAACTTACAAATGTCATCATGTTTAACCTGTTAGTCATGTTGATTTAGCATTGGTATGAAGGTTTTGTTGGAATGAGATCCAGCTCTTAGCATGTCTGTCCAGCGACATGACGGATGAGGTCTGAGCCTTTTTTCCAGAAATGACGCAGAATGTCTCGTGGACTGTGTGAACCGGAAGCCGGCAAAGAGCATCAGATGATGACACCGACCTGTCGGAATGCCTTAATCCAGACGACATTGACACGAAACGAAAATCACTGCAGCAATACTCGTTTATTCGAATGCTGCAAAAATGGGTAGTTTAATGTGCCGTCCTCCATTTTCTCCAGATTATCCTTTCCCACCAGACTGTCCGGCTTTGAGCTACACTTTTACGCACAGCTCACGTAGAACCTGGCTTATGAGGAGAGGTCGAATGCCCATTGCCAACTGGCCACCACCCTCGTGTCCATCGCTCTCTTCCACTCCTCGTGGGCAGAATGGACGTCGCTACCCGCAAGTCGCTTCCACCTCGAGGTGGTATTCTGTGAATGGGACAATGCTTACGTATCATCTTCAACCCATTCAATCAAGCAAAATGTCTTTTCGTGACGGAAGAGCGGAGTTCTGAGGCGTTGCTGCCAGCCTCACAACACTTGGTAAGGCCGGCTTGTTTGGGGATTATGGTTGGGCTTACTTCCATTTT